CAAACATTGATCATGCAGGTATCCTTGTTGATGAGGTATGCCCCTCCCTCCCCTAGCAGTCTCCCTCCACTGCCACTCCGAAACTGTTTCTTGAGATATTTTTATTGTTATTTTGAGTCAGGGTCTCTCTCTGTCACTTAGACTGAAGTGCAGTGGCATGATCATGGCTCACCACATCCTTACCTCCTAGACTCAGGCAATCCTTCTGCCTCAGCCTCCTGAGTAGCTGGGTCTACAAGAGCACACCACCACATCTGGATAATTTTATGATTTTTTGTAGAGATGAGATCTTGCTATGTTCAGGCACATGTTTTCATCCTCCCTGCTGTTCCGTAGGACAGTGACTGGGTAGCTTCCCCTTTACTCAGATGAGGAAACTGAGGAGCACGTTGCGAGCAAGTGGTACAGCTGAGAGAGGACTCCGATTATCCTGCCAGTGAGTTGCGGAGAGGAGGCGTGAGTGTGACGCTCTTGGCAAGGGCAGTGTTTCCTTCGCCCTAAATGCGTGAGCACTGCCCTGACCAGGTTCGCCCTCTCTTCTTAAGGAGATCGTTGCTTAATGGCCCAACAAGCACAGACTCATTCACTGTAAGTTCAGGTGGATTGTGCAGAATGTCTTGTGGGCATAAAAGAAAGAGCATTGCTGGGATACTTTGAAGAGAATGACTGATTCTGGAGCAAGGGATCGAGGCTGGCTTCACAGAGAATGAGGCAGGAATAGAAAAGTAATAAAATGATACTTTCTAAACACTTTTTGCATCACAGGCCTTATACTTGACTTTTTTTTTTTTTTGGAGTTGGAGTCTCATTCTGTCACCCAGACTGGAGTGCAGTGGCCGCTCCTTCTTCCTCAGCCTTCCAAGTAGCTTGAACTACAGGCACGCGCTACCATGCCCAGCTCATTTTTGATTTATTGTAGAGATGAGGTCTCGCCAAGTTGCCCAGGTGGGCCTCGAACCCGCTGGCTCAGGCAATCCACTCACCTCAGCCTCCCAAAGCACGGGATTACAGGCTGAGCCACCGAGCCCGGCTTATACTTGACTTTTTAAAAAAATTTTTATTTTGTTAGAGACAGGGTCTTGTTGTGTCACCCAGGCTAGAGTACAGTCATGCGACCATAGCTCACTGCAGCCTCAAATTCCTGGGCTCAAGTGATCCTCCCGCCTCAGCATTCTGAGTAACTGGGACTACAGATGCATGCCGTCACACTGGCAATTTTTTCATTTTTGGTAGTGGCGGGGTTGCCCAGGCTGGTCTTGAACTCCTGTGCTCAAGCAATCCTCCTCCCTCAGTCTCTCAAAGTGCTGGAATTACAGGCATGAGCTACCACGCCCAGCCATGCTTGACATTTTAAATACTAACAGGTAATATGAATTGAGTACTCTCTATGTTCCAGCCACCGTGCTCGACATTTTTTGGTGAAGTCTCAGTAACTGCTCACAAAAAACAGGAAAGGGCTCCTTCCATACACTTGAGGAAACTGAAGCTTGAAGAGGCTGAGGAACTTGCCCACATGGGTAGGATCTACTTGGGCTGGGATTCAAGCCTAGTGATCGGGTGCCTGAGCCCTTTTTGGTAACCTCTTTGCTGTCATGGGGTGGAGGGGGAATGCTTGAGTTTTACTTCCTCTTCACAACAACCCTAAAGGTAGGAATGGGCAAACCCACCTAACAGGCAGGAAAATGGACTCAGAGATTGCTGACCCCCCTGGGACCCCGCAGTGCGTGGCAGAGCTGATTCCTGACTTCTGCTCTGTTAACTTTTGGGGTGGTGTCATCGCGGTGTGTGGTGTGTGTCCTTTTCCCCTCCTGTATCCTCTCCTTGCTCTGTTTCAGGGAACATCATTAAGAACGAAGCCCTGTACAGAGCTGGGATTCACCCCCTTTCTCTCGGCTCAGCCCTGAGCCCCTCCAGCCTGGAGGCCCTCGTGGATTGCGTGGTGCAGTTCAGCACCGACTGGCTTCGGGACAAGTTCCAGGGCAGACAGCAGCACACACAGATCTACCAGAAGGAGCAGTGCCCTGCCGGGCACCGAGTCACGAAGGAGGCGCTTGGGCCCCCCGGTGGGTTCCAGAGGTTCACCTGGTGGTGCCCGCAGTGCCAGCCCCGGTCGCCGCCCGAGGGGCCAGAGCAGTGCTAGCTCCCCTGAGGCACTTGGGGCCCTCTTCAGGGAACCTGGCCCTTCGGGGACCCTGAGGCCTGAGTGTCCAGGAGGGAGGGTGTGGCCAAGAATTGGCGGGTCGGGGCGTCAGAGTTGTTGAGGTTCATCTCCTGGAGTTATGTGGAAAGCCGCGTTTTCGTGGCTTTAAATTTCTACCTTTTCTGGTTCAGCTCATTCTTCCAGTTTAATGTCACTGTTGTGAAAGAACCCTAACAACAGGTCACGGAGACCTTCCAGGAGACAGTGTGCGGTGAAAAGGAAGGAATGTGCCCTCAGGGCTTTGCAGGGGTGGGGCTTTGGTTTTGTTTTGGAAACTTTGGTTGGTTTTAAGGCCCTCCGTTTTGAGGCACAGGAAAACGGAACCTTCTTTCTGTGTTCCCTGGAGGGATCCAGGGATGAGGACAGAGTAGCCTGAGAGCTGCTGCTGTCACTCAGCCTCCTGCCTGGCTCCTTCCCCCTGGACACAGACCCCAGGAGATGGGGGCGGAGGTGGGAAAGCAGCCCCCTTCCCGGCATGCCCGTGGCCTTAGAGAAAAGCTACTTTTTTGCTCCTTAAGCCAACGTGTTGTTGACTGTTGATAAGTTGAACAATTCCCAAATTGAGGGCTAGGGAGAGACACTCCCTCAGGTTGTTGGCAGCAGCTAGATAAAGCCAGGTTGGGGCTTGAAAATAAAACACTGTTATTTTCTGTGGTCACCACTGGCTGTCGGGTCTTTGTAAGTGATGGAGCGCTTGGTGAAGGCGGCCTTCTGGCCGGCTGGGTGGCTGGCAAGTCCGCCTGAAAGGAAGGGGAGTGGGGAGGTGGGCGCACACCTGCCCTCTGCCCCAGGTGGCTGTGTGGGATCCGCTGGAGCTGAGCAGAGATGGATTTCACTTCTGTCACCACAGCCTCTGGCACGGAGGAAACGGGACTCGTGAAGAGGGGTTTGAAAGCCGTGGCGGATGTTTCTGGCTTTCCTGTACTGTCCTTGCCTTAAGTTGCTGAGAGTCGTCCACAGCGGGGAAAGGCACTTCATGCATACTCGTGCTCTGAGTAAGAGCTCGTGCCAAGCGTTCGTCCTGCACTGAGCGCTCACCCCTGCTAGTGCTTGCCCCGCACTAGGCACTCGCCTTGTGTTGGGTGCTCACCCTGCCTGGGCGCTCACCTCCATGTTGGAAGGAGAGAAGCGGCAGAACACAGCGGGGGAGAGAGGCCATGATGGGCTGACCAGGTGTGGGGGCAGGGAGAGGCGCGAAGAGCCGAAGCTGGCTCATGCCCAGCACGTGGGGTCTGGAGGAGCCCCCCTGGGCTAGGGAAGATTGGGGGGCGGAGACGAGCAGGGGTTGGGGGTTACCAGGTCCTGGAGCGTGTTGAGCTCGAGGTGCCCGCAGACTTCCTGCACTCTGGGGACAACGCAGTTAGGAAGCAGGCGTGGACCCCCAGGACAGGCTGGGCAGCATCCCTCGAAGGGAGGGTCACAAGGGTCTTGCAGCCTGAGGAAAGGTGCAGCCACCAGGGACCGAGAGGAAGCCTCGTGTCTAAGGAGCAAGAGAGGAAGGAAGCCGGTCCGTGAGCAGATGTGGTGTCAGGGGAAGAAAGCTTCCAGGCAGAGGCCAGTCGGGCGTGGGAACGGTGCTGAGACGAAGGCAGAAAAGCATGAGAAGAGGCCCGGGTCTGGCAGCGGGTCAGCTGGTGGCGATGCGCTTCTAGGGAACGTGTGCAGAGTGGTAGCAGGGAAGAGGGACTGAGGCAGTGGGACGGCGAAGGGTCTGCTGGTCAAGTTTGGCCTTGAAGGACGCGAAAGGGATGGGCAAGACGAGAGCAGAGGCTGGATATAATGTGAGGATGTGCATATGATGAGTTGAGAGGAGAAAGCTTGGGGAGGCTGGACGCAGTGGCTCCTGCCTGAAATCCCAGCACTTTGGGAGGCTGAGGTGGGAGGATTGTTTGAGGCCAAGAGTTCAAGCCAGCTGGGAGCCATAGCAAGACCTGGTCTCTGCGAAAAAGAGCTGGGTATGGTGTCGTGGCCTGTAGTTCCAGCTACTCAGGAGGTTGAGGCAGGAGGATCGCTGGAACCCAGGAGTTCGAGGCTGCAGTGAGCCACTGCACTCCAGCCTGGGTGACAGCATGAGACTCCAGCTCCAGGGAAAAAAAAAGGAGAGAACTCACACACCAGTGTCAGCACTTAAAGATGATGGCCGAGTTAGGATGAGAAGATTAATAGACTCAGAAAAAAAATGTGCTGGAAGTGAGGTCTCTGTGGTGCAAAAGGGGAGTGGGGAGGTTTGTAACAGCTGTTACGGGCACCTAGTCACTTCGGGTGGAAGGGAGACTGGAAGAGCCACACCGAGGACCAGGGGAGGTGCTTCATTTCCTGGCTTTCTCCAGCAGCATCTAAGACGAGGGTCAAAACAAACAGCAACAAGAAAATGGATGCTGGGTTAACCCACAATTGAAGTTTGTCAGAGGAAGAAAGGTCGAATCTGGCAAACAGGCAAAGGACAGTCCTTGCTTATATTGTTTTTAAAGAATTACAGCCATCAAAAGAGTCAAGCTACAAAGTTCATAGAGCAAAACGCGCCTTCCTTCCTCCCTATTTTTCTCCTTCTTCAGGAGAATCTCAGGGGTGGACTTGCGAATAATGCCTCTGACTAGAGTGACTCACCTGAAGCCTGTAGGATAGGTAAAGTCCTAGCACCGGCAGGTGACACCATCAAAACGACATCAGCAGCTTGAGCAACACAGCGAGCCCCTCGTTCCTACCAAAACGTCCCCAAATTAGCTGGGTGGCAGGGATGGGGCCGGCTGCGGTGGGCTGATTGCCTGAGACCAGGGCCAGGGCTTGAGGCTGTGGTGAGCCACCATCCTGACTCCAGCCTGGGTGACACAGTGAGACCCTGCAGTCAGTCAAATGATCGGGGTGGGCGACAGAGGGAGACCGCCCCCAAGAGTAAGTATAAAATAAGAGTGACGGGGGGGGCCTCAGTGAGAAGCCGGGATGTGAGCATCGGCTTGAAGGACGTGAAGGCGTCAGCCAGCCCGGTATCTGGGGGAAGAACTAGGAGTGGACAGCTAGACAACAAGCCCTGGGCCAGAGCAGGAGGAAGTCCGGCTGGAGCTCAGAGCAGCGGGGTGACGGCCTAATCTCGCAGTCTCAAGTGACCCTTGCGGGGCTTCTGCTGAGTGAAGTGGACACACACGGCCCCGCTTCGGGCAGGGAAGCGATTTTAGGTTCTGAGTCCAAGTCCAGGCTGGAGGGCAGTGGCACGCTCACGACCGCCACAGCCTCAACCGGCTGGACTCGGCGATCCTGCCGCCTCAGCCCCCAGTAGCTGGCACCCCAGGCGCGCACCACCACCCTCTGCTCCCTTTGACGTAGTGCAGAGACGCGGTCTCGCCAAGTTGCCGGGCTGGTCTCGGACCCTGGGCTCAGGCAGCCCTCTCGCCTCGGCCTCCCGAAGGGCTGGGATGCCGGGCGTGAGGATTCATGAGGATTCCTGGCCGCCGTGTCCAAATGAAGACCGAGGGGGCTCCGTGGCCCGCCGTCTGGGGGCTCGAGAGAGCGAGGATGAGCCGAGAGCGAGGATGAGCCGAGAGCG